CCCCCCTGCGGGTATTGGCGGTAGGGAGGGGGCAGGGCCGGGGCGGGTCTCTCCTCTTCAGTTGCTGCTCGGATAATTTTTTTTTTTTTTTAAGCTTTTGTTATAGAAAATGGCCACCCTATGTGTATTTACCGAAAGAAAAAAAAAAAAAAACTTGAGTTCAACCAGAAAGGGAAATAATGCCAATTCCAAGTTTCCTAACACTTACCCTGGAAGTGCCCTGCTTTTGCTTTGAGAAGGGGAGATTTGAGAAGGTGGAGTCAACTGCTACAGAAAGAAACCTCGTTTTAAGTGTGCACTATTGCTCTCCAGCTGAGAGCATCTTTCCTTTGGCCACAAGTATTTTTCCTGTTAAATAAGGAAGCCACACAGTGTTCTCCAAGGACTCGAATTCTCTGCGGTATGACCAACAGATACAGTTCATAAACTTGTGAAGCAAAACCGGGTTTTATTTAGGGGAAAAAAAAATCTTTATTCAACGCTTCTACTAAATGTTCATGAAGCAACCAGCAACTGAACAGTTACCCGTGACTTTTCCATCTAATTATTGATATACTAAAGAATGTTGCCCATTGATTCCGGCAATGCCTCCTCTCCTCCAATACTTACTGCTCAACACAAAGTTCACGAATGTGGAAAGTTCATTCATAACTGTTCCAAAAATTGACAGTGCTTAAAAGTACTGAGGATTGAGGATTTAAGCAACCACTATGTCACAAATGGATTGTGACCTTTCGCAAGTCAGCTAACTTCTCTGGGCCACCTTTCCCACCTCAGAGAAAAGAGAAAGTGAAGTTAGGTCAAGGAACAGACAATTCCGAAGTCCTTCCTGTGATAACCTAGGATTCTAGCTAACCTTGCTAACTGGCTATAATTGGAGAAATAATTACACAGAAGTCAGGTTTCTCCTATGAAAAATTTTAATTACATTGCATTGGTGATTAAATACTAATAAGACGTTCAAGAGAAAGAAAGTCACAAACTCTCAGTAAGACTTATAAAAAATGATTATATAACATTGCAAATTGACTTTTAATTGAATTGTCCAAATAATCAAAATACATCATCCCTCATCATCTAAATCTAATCTGTTCCTAAACCTAGTTGGATGTGAGTTTTTAGATAGAAGGATCCCTTATTCCCTTATTTATATGGGGAAAAAAATTCATCCAGCGCATCCAAAACTCCAGTTTCTCCAAAGATGGTTCAGTATTCTTAATCACTTATGAAACTATGCACCAAAGGTTTCTGCATTAAGCAAGGACCAGTATACATTTTTTGGTAAAGGACCAGATAATAAATACTTTAGATTTTGCAGGTCATACAGTCTCTATCATACTGTTTAACTCTGCCATTGTGCAAAAAAATCATAGATGATACATAAACATAACATTAGCTGTGTTACAATAAAACTTTATTTAGAAAAATATGATGTGAGCTAGATTTGACCAACAGGATATAGAGTGCAGATGCCTGATATATAGCATTTATAACATCAAGTATCTAATAAACACTGAATTTAATGCTATTCTTCAACTATATTATTCATACACATCAATTCTGAAATTAGCGGAAAAAAGAGAGAAGCAAAGAATAGATACTTAACTGATTAAAAAAAATTATGAACAGGATCATATTCTTAATGTAAGCAGAGGAGTATCGAACTAAATTTAAAAGCAGATGGACTTTCTATGGTTTGTTAAATAATACAGTAATGTTTAAAACCATATTTGTGTGCAGGATACAACAGTGTTGAATGGAAATGGTGATTCCGTTCCTCATGGCAACAAAAAGATATTATGATGTAAACATTGTAAACAACAAAATAGGTATAGCTACTTTATTACAAATAAAATGTTAGCAGAATTAAAAAGTCATGAAAAAAATGGTTTTGTGGTATGATAAACTATTTCCAAAGATAGTTTTCAAACAATGCCTCTCATTCCCATACATACCTCAAAAGTGAAATCTGACCCAGCTGTGGTGGCCCAGTTGGTAGGGTGCAGCTGCACATGTGGCAAGGCCCCAGGTCTGGCTCCTGAGTCAACCTAAATAGGTCATGTACTCCTGTGATCATGGCTGGCTGGAGTAGGGAAATCGGGACTCTCTCAGGGGTCCCTGTATCTCCTTCTCAAAATGAACTTTAAAAAAAGTGGAATGTATTTTCCCTCCCCTTGAATTTGAACAATAGAATATGCTGAAAGTGATTCTGGGCCAGTTCCAAATCAGTCCTTAGGAGGCCTTGATAGGGCTGCTATACTCTCTTGAAAGCCTGTCACCATATAAGAAATCCAGTAAGGCCTACTGTGAAGGTGCAGGAGTAGAGCAACACCTTACAATGCTGAAGCCACATGGGAGGGTCCCAGGGTCACATATGCAGTCTCTGTACATGTCAGGCACACATGTGCTCAGTGCATTAGTAAAGCAACGGTCTGCTGGACTCTGTCAGGACACATTTAGAAGTAGGTGACTGACCCACACATGACAAATCCACTCCCACAGTCCTATATCTCTAAGCTTTATTCCAATCCCCTGAAATACTGGGTCATGGGGAAAGTCATGACACGTTTTTGCATAGAAAACTACAATATGACTTTTCTGACGACCTAATATAACAAGGTATTTCTAACATGCAATGTTATTTCAACCAACCAATGAGGGAATCTTTAGCACCACTCCCAGAGCCTTCTAGGTTAGACCTTTTATTTGTGCCCTGGAACATGTTGGAATCCAGCTCTGTAGATTGAGGCCTGTGGTTCTCAACACATTTTTGTCACTGCTAAAGAGTGGGGCAAGTATACTACCACCATCTAGTGGATAAGAGTCAAGGGATGCTGCTAAACATCATGCAATGCCTCCACAACAAAAATGTATTTAGCCCAAAATGGCATCAGTGATGGCATTAAAAAACCCTGGTCTATGGTGCTGGCAGGTGGAGTGGTGGTTAAGGGTGCTGGGTTCCCACATGGCTGACTGTAGTTTGAGTCCTGGACCTGGCAGCTTCCTTCTCACTTTCTAACTCTGACCCTCACTAGTCAAATAAAAAGAAAGAAAGGAAGGAAGAAAGGAAAGAAGAAAGAAAGTTAAACAAAATAATTCTTTAAAAAAACAAAAAACCTGGTCCAGTACAGTGAATGCAGTCACCTATAGCTAATCCGAACATTTGAAACATGGTTAATTTTAATTGAGATATATTGTAAATGCAAAATACATCCTGATTTTTTATATTTAACAAAAGACTGTAGAAAGTATTAATTTTCATATTGGCTGCATGTTGAAATAATATTTTGAATATAGTCAGTTAAATAAAATGTATTATTGGGCCAGCCTCATGCCTTCATGATGAGAGAGCTGGATCCCACATGGTCAATCACTCAATTCAAATTTCAGCCTCAGCAGCTTGAAA